CATTTTCCCAAAGCAGAACCAGGATACGGTTATCAAAGAAGGGAAGTGGATGCTGGTGCCAAAGCAACAGATGTCTATTTCGAGACTCTTCTGTTCAGACATAATCTTTCACTGAAGCAACAGCAGATTAAAACAGATACACTGAGAGTTCCACTGACCTGTGTGAGGATGGAGGGCCTGGGCGCTGGTTCTGTGCCTCTCCACCAGGGCGGGCAGAGAGTAGCTCAGAATCTCCCGAAGATTCCACCTCTCTTCATGAATATATGAAGGAAGGGAGGGAGGAAGGAAGGGAGGAAGAGAGAGAGGAAGGGAAAACAGGACAGGACACTTGTCCAGTCTCGGTACCTGAGATGCGTGAAATCCTGAAAAAAAAAACATTTAAAGGACCCGCCCCTCAGAAATCACTGATTATTTATTTAGAATATTTTCTCTTTCCATCATTTCCTTAGCAACCCCTAGCAGCTGCCTGGGAAAATGCAAAGGGAATGTATAGCTTACAAGAAAATTCTTCAAATAGCAAGTGAAATCGTTTCATCACATTAAGTCTTCCTGCCCAGATTCACTTCAAGCAGAGAGGGAGACATGATTTGGCGTTTGATCAGCCTTCATGTAACAGCTCGATAGCCCAGAATTTCTAGAACAGCCCTGATTCTATGTCATTTTCTTCTTTGCATTTGAGGTAAGGCCAGTGATCTAGAATTAAGCGTGACTTAATTTTTTATGTTTTTGTAAGGCTTTTTATGAAAATAAATGCACATTTTGAGGAAAACAAATTTGAGGGGGAGCAAATCTAATGTGTTGCTTAAAAATAGGTACCTTGTGTATTGTCTGGGGAATTCTCATTAGAACGCAGCGAAGTTTCTCTCTCTGCCTAGGGTCCCTCCCCCATCCCTGGTGGAGTGGGAGTCTAGCTGGTGCCTTATTTCCCCGCCAAAAGAAAGCCACAGGACTCTTCCTTTTAGGGTTTGCCTGCTAGAGGTGTGGGGGTGGAGGAACTAGAAAGTGTCGCTGAACTCTGCTGGCCGTGCTGCCTCTGTTAGGCTGATATATTTGCACGCTTGTTTTCGGAGAGAGAGTTCTCTTCCAGATTTCTTATGACTTATTTTGAGTCTGAAGTCTTCTTCATGTTTTTCTCTTATTTTAGAAAAAGGCAAAATTTAAAAACGAATCGATTATGTGCAGAGTTGACTTCTGCGATGTCTACTGTCTAACAATTGAGCTTTTGCATATTAGGCATTCTTAATAGCGACAGCTAACGTCCTTGGAGTGCTTAGGAGGTTAAAAGAAAACCCCTGTGCATGCGTGTCCCTCCCTTATCCTGTGTAATCCTCACTGTGATCTTTGTCGGGCTGGGGTACTGGATTTTAGGTGAAGACTGAGGCACAGAGAGGTGAACAATGATCCCCAAAGATACACAGGTCGGTCATTAGTGATGTGACCTGGATTCCAGCGTAAGCATTTAGGATGTGTTCTTGTAGCCATAATGCTGGGACGCTTAAGGGAATGTTCCATCCACAGTTACCCAGAGTCCCGCTGTCTCCTGTTCCTGTGGGCAGACACAGTTGGGATTCTCCAGAAACCACTTCTGCAGCCAAACTCCACATGTCTACATCTTAGAGGGTAGCCTCCCACGGTCGCATTTCCAGGCTATTTGGGAAATAAATCCACATCTTCTAATGCTGTGAAAGACGGTTGATAGGGTCTCCCTACTGGGCTTTGGTTGAAAGGTCTCGGCACTCTGGATGACTTCAGAGAGAGGTGTTGATGTTCCAAGCCCTGCTGTGAGCGGGCAGCTTCAGAGACCCAGTGACTCGAGTACCCCTTCTCAGGGCAGCTGAGGTACAAGAAGTACCCTGGGATGTATATTTCTTTAAAAAGATAGGGAGGGAAAAAAAAATCCTTCAGCCTTGGCTGTTTCAAAGCGGTGCGAGGGAAGGAGAGCATCTCTTCACTGGCATCTTGTTTGGGATGCGTTCCACCTGCTGCCTTGGTTGTGTGGGGTCTCTGCAGGGAGGCTGTGTGTTTTGCTCAGTGGCATCATGGCCACACTCCTGTTCCTGATGAAGAATTTTTTCCCCTCCTCAGACTGACAACTGCTTTTGGAAACGTGTTTTCATGAGAAGTAGTCGGGCTGAGATTTTAGTAATAGCATCACCCCTTGTTACCAGGCTCTGGGGCATGACCACTCCTGGTCTTTATAAAGCAGAAGAAAAGCAGAAGAGCTTCTGCATCCCGGCTCCTGCGTAAGCTGGGGTTTACTTCTTGTCCCCCTGACTACACCTGATGAACCACCCCTGCGGAATTGCCTGTGGTCCTGGTGATGGACACCTGCTATTCCTGGGGCTTCGCCCCGCTTCAAAGTCGGAGGGAACGTTATGGTGCCATTGATGGAAGGCATGTTACACCTGCCGAGAACTTCTGTATGCACTCTCTCCTCAAACAGCAGTCCTCGTGGCCACCCCGTGAGAGAGAGGCTGTCCTTCTCCCCGTTTTTACACGTGAGGAAACTAAGGTGGAGAAGGTGGGGTAACTTGCCTAAGGCCACCCTAACATGAGTTGGTCTGAATCCCACACTCTCACTGTCAAATTCTGTATCCCGGTCAGAGTTCTCTCCTGATCTTCCTAACCACTCAGCACTTGGTAGAGCACCTGGGGTCCAGCACAATTTCATTTAAATCATTATAATTTTGGTAAAGACAATTAGAAAATGCTGAAAGCATAAAAAATCCTATCACCCAAAGATAATTAATACCTTAGTGTATGTTCTTTCATAAATTTTTCAATACCTGCGAAGAATTCTATCAATCATTTTATTTCAAAAGTGTATATTTTTAAATATAATTTCCTTTTTTCACCTCAAAGTGGATCCTGAATATTTTCCTGTGTCTGAGATGCACTTCTGTAATATAATTTTAACATTTTTTTATGAGTATATTAAAGTAATACAATGGGCCGCCCCAAAGCAGGGCCTGACCACACCCCAATTACAAAAATAAATTTCAGATAAAAAAAAATGAAACAAAAGAGGTACCACAACACAACGGGAGCAACAGCAACAATGGCACAAATGACGAGTATCAGAAGGCGGGGTGGACAGATCTTAGTCATACTGGGCTGGCAGCGTCCTTTTAAATCAAGCTCTGAAAAAAAAATGACAACTCAGAACTCATAAAGGGGAAGATTGATGGACTTGCACATAGAGGATGTAAAATTCACGTATAGAAAAAGAAACACCAACAGAGGCTATGAGTTTGTTAGGGCTGATAGGACTGTGGGGCTTAAAAAACAGCAAACATTTATTTTCTCACAGTCCTGGAGTCTAGACGTCCAAGATCGAGGTGTTGGTGGGGCTGGCTTCTTCTCAGGTCTCTGTCTGTGTCTTCTGTTCCTCTCATCTTCACATGCTCTTCCTACAAGGACACTAGTATTGAATTAGGGCTGATCTAATGAACCTATTTGGCCATAATTACCTCTTTTTTGGGGGGGGGTGTAATTAGGTTATTTATTTATTTATTTTAATGGAGGTACTGGGATTGAACCCAGGACCTTGTGCATGCT